CAGATGACGCTGTAAGATGCAAGCACGGAAATTAATGTTTTAAGAGAATTTAGCTCCTTAAAGAAACTCAATGTGAGTAAGCAGCAGAGAGTCTAACTCCACAGTTCAAAGCACACTGTAAAGTGAGCTCCTGAAGCACAAGAACACAAGAAATGTACAGCAGAGGTGACGACTGAATACACTTTCTAACACTCATTGGTGTAATATGAGGGCTTACCCTGCTGCATTCAATGAAATCGCAACAAAGGGGCTGGAATAACTGAGAACACAATTACCTGGTCATGTTTCCCAAGGAAAACACCTATTGTGTCAATCAACTGAATTACCAGCAGGTACTGACTGGATGTACAACTGCCCTTCCAATGCAATCTATCAACCATTTAAAGGAAGAAGGCAACTTCGGAGAGAGCAGCATTATAAGTTTACAACACAACACTTCCACTTCTGGTAGCCCCTGACCTTACAGGTATGGGCTGGCAGACAACTGGGAATGTGATCCTGAGGCAGGTGATGGTGGGAAGCCTGGACTAAAGAACTGTCAGAGAGTTGCATCGGTCTCTTTGGGATATAAACCTCAAAAAGAAAATTTGAATTTCTTTTCTAAGGACAGCTTGAAACTGACTAGTTTAAGAATAATAATAAAATAGTTTAAAATAATATTTTTTATAAATGTATTCTAAAGGAATCCTTTTTAAAAGCTGTCTGTTTCTATTGATATTGAAAATACACCTATTAAAATGTTTAGTGATACTCAATTTTATTAAAATCTTACTAAGTACAAGACAAAGCTTAGAACTGTCTGTCTATAGCATGTCACTTGTCTTAACTAATGTACACATTCTGACACAATACTGTCTCTATTTTCACACAAAAATTTGTTAACTATTATTTTTCAAACTCTGAGTTGAATGGAAACTATATACTCATTCTAAGGATAGCCTGAGGTTTGTATGAAGCACTACCATCTTCATGCAAAAAGAATCTGCTAAAGTAATGGAGTTTTAAAGTTCTGTCTTCACTGCAAGAGATTTTCTTCCTCTCAGAGAATTCTGTTTGATAGCCAGGGTTTCTTGCAGGATTTCTGCAGGTTCCTGACAGAAAACTACTTTAACGTTAGGACTGCAAGCAGGATCCATCACATTCATTCCTAAAGCAAACCCAACAGACTGTAGCATCTTCCTGATGCCCAGCCACATCAGAGCTTGCAACTTTGGTGTGGTAGCTGGGTTACACTTGGTTTTGGATGCTCTCTAGCTGAAACCACGCTATTTGATACACAGTCTACAAGTCCTAATGCCAACAGATGGGATATGTCAAAAGTAACAGCCCCTATTTTGTCTACCACAGTTTCAAGACACACAGTGAGGACTTTCATGCCATTTCTCGTCTGCCTGTATTGCCTTCTGTGCTGTGAAGTCACGGTGTTTGCTAGCACTCACCTTCATGCCTCAAGTGTCATTATTAATAAAGGAGAACACTTTAACTATTTCTGAAAATACTAGTAAAATGAAATGCTGACACAGATCCTGACATGCTGCTGTTAAAAACCACTGTCACACCTCTCACGCTTGTTCCTGCAAACCTGTTGTGGGCAGCCCTTTCACGGCTGACTGGCTGACAGAGCACAGGAGCGTGGGAAGCTCTAAGTTCAATGAAGCACTTCTAGGGGCAGTTGAGAGCTGGTCTTTGTTTTCCATAAACAAAGATACGCAACACCTGCATAAATACAGCCTGCATGAATACAGAAGTATTTCTAGGTTGTGGATGGCAAAACAAGAGGGCCTTTGGTGACGATCAGAACGGCACTTATGTGCTGGGAAGAAGACAACGTGTCAAAATGGGTTTCAAATCCTCTCCAGACAAGAGGATGTTAGCGTGTTTTCTCTCTTTACATACATTTGTAGCAGTGCTCAAAATGATCTGATCAACGACTATATGCCAAAGCAGAACTGGGTGAGTTCACATCAGCATTTATTTGGCAACAGACATTTCACAAATACAGGATATACTGTCTCCTCCACAAGAGAGCTTCTCAGCAGCTTAAACATGTATGTATGTACATGCAGCAGTTCAGACAGCTCCCGATGCTGCTCCTGACAGCCAGTTACAGGGTTAAACATTATGACTACAAGCTATGAACAGCCTGGCTATCAGAGATGCTCCTTCTAAGAAGTTGTAGCTCTAAGCTGTCAACCGCGTTCTGATTGTTCATAATCTGCCCATGCACCGTCGCACCTGTGCCATTGTCTTCTGACTCTTAACAACTGTGGCTTTCCCTTCCTGCGTGCCAAAGCTGTCAACATCTCTGTGCTGACAAGGTACAAAAAATAGGCATTATTAGAGCATCCTTGTGCCAATCTATTTCCTCTCACAGCATTTGAGAACAATAGCAATGCTGTGTTAGCTGCTAGACTGCTGCAGTCTCTAACAGCAACCAGCTTGGCAGCTGAAAGCTAAAGCATTCCCTTCATCCCAGACGTAATGCCAAGTGCTCTCTGCTGCTCCACAGAATTGAATCCTGTGTATTCAAGGCCCTGCACTAAAACATGATCATACATGTACAATTGGATCATACTAAACAAATACTATTTTGATGCCACAACCCTTGTAAATAACCTGGATGAACTTACACATGAACAAATCCCATATTTAATGTTACTGATGCTGTGCTGGGTATTTGGTAGCTTTTTCTCTTTCCTGCACAACTACACATGTAGGAAAAGACAGAAAGACAGTTTCTAACCATGAGAAGTATATTTAACATTATTGCTCGGGAAAAATCAAATATGTGACCTTGTTAACAAACCCAAGATCTTGCAGTGTGTAATTAACAGGAATATATGGCTTGTAATACTAGGAATATTTCAGTAGGTGGCATCAAGGTGCATCATTGAGTAACACAAGCTGAGAGGTTGGGTCAGAGCAGCTGAACAGTAGTTCCTCTCACTACCTTTTGTCAACCCTGTCACTTACAGCATGCCACAAGAGCAAGAGGTTTGGTGGGTGGTGGTTACCCTATCTGCAAAGTTACTGCACAGACAGTTAAGTTCTGTGTATTCAATCAAATTATTTATGCACATACACTCTTGTAAGCCTTGTGATAACGAAGTAGTGTATGAAGGCAGATAGATGTGCCTGAAATAAATGAGGTCACTGTCAGTCTACTGATATTACTCTGATCCTAATTGTTAGAAAAGAAGAAATGGACTCTGCCTGCTCCAGAAATTGTCCTGTTTCACCACCAACAGAACTCAGACCTAAAAAGGATCAAGACCAAAGACATGGAGGCATGTTCTACAGGACAACTCTACAATTTGTAACACAGATGTATGTGCAGTAGTTGCTAACTTAATAGCTGCTGACATTACAGTCCTGGCTGCAGTATATCATCACCAGCCATCAACAGTGAAACGGTATCCTTAAAAAGGCTCTCCAAAATTCTACCTTCATTCATATCCCATGATTGCATTAAAATGGTATGAATTTGCTTTGCTGACTTTCATTTCTCATGAGGTGTTTGACATCATCTCGGTACTGCTTTGGAAATAGTTCCTACACAAAAAGCATTTTGCCAAGGGCCCCTCTTCTACAGACTGAGGGCTGGAAGAAGCTGCAACATCCCAGTGTATAAGGCAAAGGCCAGACCTATTGCCAAGCGCTTACCAACAAATCCCTCAAACAGCTGTGTGCCACTGAAGGCTGAATAGGTGGACAGGATTCATTTTCCCACTGAATATTTGACAACTGGATCAACCTTCTCCATTTCTGTCTTATGATTCAGTCTCCTCTTCACCAACACAAGGTTTGCCAATACCCCATGCAAGCCTTTGTAGAGTGTTTCCCATCTCACACAACCTCACGTAAAAAACTCCCAGCTCCTTCCAAGAAGGATGACTTAACTACATGTCAAATTCTTGCAGGAAGATGTCTACCACAAGATGTGTTGTTCAAGAGTTTCTTTCCTCCTTTGCATCATTTTAATGCATGTCTTTCTCTACTTCGCACAGCTGCAGCATGCTGACTGTCTCATAAGCGTGGAGAATGCCTAATACATCCAAAATCAGATGAATAGGGTTAGGAAATTAAATGAAGGATATTTAGTTGCCTCTAAACTACTCTCTAGGAAGGAGGACTATATGAAATCCTCTCAGGAGATCTCAACAACCAGCACACATTCCATGTTTACTTTACAGGTATATGCATTCCTAAGGGATTTAAAACACCTCTGCAGTGCAAAAAAAAAAAAAAAGGAGGAGGAGGATGCATAGCTAACAGCAAAACTCCACTGAATTTTTCTAAAGCCTCAACATGTTTTTGACAAAACGCCTTTCCTTTCCCCACATAAGGAGCAAAGACAGATAGGAGTTCATCTCACAGCTTTCTATTATTAAGGAAACAGGTCTTCTAAATAAAGGCACTTATCACTAGCTCCTAGGCTACTGATGCAGGAACAAATCCAGTCCTGAAGCTCTTGTCACTCCCAATCCCACATCCAGGAAGCTCAAAGTTGACACAAACACCTGGTCAGGCTTTGTTGTCACTGTTCCAGAGTAAAGCAGAAGACAGGCAGATAATAATATAAAAATATCTCACCTAAACGGTTTTAAACTGAGAAAAGTGCATTTAGCACACTAGAAGAGAGATTTTTCCATTACATGAGTTTTCAATAGTAATCTGAATCACACAATCTTCTAAACACTTTACTAACTCGAAGTAACAAAGGCCTTCAAGACCCCAGAAGCACAGTAGGTAACTGATTATACCTATTTACATACACGGAGCTGACAGAAAAGGTTTAAGTGTCAAAGACAGTGATAGCACAAGGATTGGGACTGAGGAGTTCTTGGCTCCCAGTCTTGTGATTGGACCACTTAGACTCCTAAGAACACAGGAATAAAACTTAAGTGGATATTGTTTCCTTTCTGATAGATAAATACACCTACAGGTAGAAGAAAATACTTTGTGCGTTGTATTCAATGTATACCTTTAGGTTGCTGTTTTTATAGCATACCTTGTTCTCTCTGTTGATCTTTTTGTTCCATGGAAACAAGAGCAGAGAAATGGGCCTGATCATAGGCTAGCACAAGAGGGGAGCAATGGCATCTGTTAGGTAGAACTTCCAGTGGCAGATAAATCCCTCCAAATGGTATAGGTGCAAACGCTGCAAAATAAAATGAGATTTTTTTTTTAAACTGTGTCAAAGAACAGACAGTAATGTTGGTTCTATTGTAGGCAATCATTGGGCAACAACATTTTCGGAGCTCCAGGAGAGAAGCCTAAAGTGGAGTAATCAATGCAGAAAACAGTCGTACTAACAGGTAAAATTTCATAATAAAGACGTCAGGAAATATACCAAGAACAACAATGAAAACATTCTGCTCTCACATACATTTTCCTTGCCTTAATTGTTTAGTATGAAGATATTATGTCTTAAAACAAAATCTTGATGACTCTCACAAATGTATGCAGACTTGTACCTTCCCATAACACTTTTAGGTAGAAGGATATTTTCTAATCATCACCATCAGCTCTTTGGTAACATACTCTGCTCATGCCCTGCATTAACAGATTCCTATAGGAAACATTACAAACTTATTTATAGTCCACACACACATCATCACACACATCATGTATGTATGAATGTGTCTATATATAATAATGATATGGAAAGATTAAAAAAATTCTACAAGTAGAATCTGAATGGGATGCTGCATCTGTAAGGGCAAAGGTCTTTCCTTTGAAAGATTCTACACTTTTTTATACATAATTATGGGAAACAGTAAGTCTGGGCAGGAAAATTCTCTCAACGTGTTTGCTTCTGACCAATTAATTTTCCTTTTGCTGTGAAAATACGAATCCTATAATGTAACAACATTACTTGTAGTTTACAATTTGAATAGAACCTGAAATTGCCCAGGATTTTCTCATAGAAGTAAATTTCTGTAACTCCATCACTCATTTAACTCCATCTCCCTTTAATCCTTTTCTGTAAACTCCATCTCCCTTTAATCAATCAAATATCCCCCTTCAGTTAAACAACATATCATTAATTACTATTCTATTAGTTCACGGTAAAAAGTGAGAGAGATTAATTTAATCATTCGAGTCATGCTCAGACAGCTGTCCAGCTGGCTCCACATAAGGATTAACATTTGTGTGCTCACATGTGCAAACCAAATAAAACATTTGGTAAACTTTTGAATGAGAGGCTGCAGAGGAGTTAGTAAAACAGAAAAGCCAAAATTTCCACAAATTTCAATTTTTTGAAGTCAGATTAGATTGATTTATGCAGAATTTTAAGGGGCATCCAACCAACACAGCAATATTAGAACCTCGTTAACGTAGACCAGTAAGAAATGTATTGCATTCTGTAATTTGGTGGTTATCAAGTTAATAGTAGCTATCTAGGATAAACAGATTTTCAATGAGACTTACATAGTTATGCTGTATTTTTTACTTTTATCTAACAGAAACGGAATGAGTATCATTCTGACTCCCTGGTTTTTTCCTCCAGAAAAAGGCAGCAGCTATCCCATAAACACTCAGATATGTTACAACTGGGTCTTTTGTTTGTGATAGCTTACAACTGATTCAGTTATGCACATTTTTCTAACGAAAAACTCTTACCTTCTCCCCCTGAGTCTCGTAACATTGTGTCTGCTACTACAACAATAGGTCTTCTCAAAATATGGGCTAAAACAAAAACGTGGAACTCTTCTAAGCTCTCATACACTGGATCTTCTGAATTATCAACTCTGGAAGACACAGCATTGAAACTTTTTGAACCAACCACAGATACTTTAGCAAACCAACACATTGCAACAGCTATTTCTTCTTCCTTGTCACTTGCATATTCCCACTCTTCTGAAATGCATATTCCAATTACTGAAATAGGTAACACAAGAAACTGGAAAGGAAAATGTATTTATGGAAATGAAATAATAGCAACAGAGAAAATGTTTTCATTTGCAGACTCCACACTAGTTTAGTAGTCAGCAAAATTAGTTACTTTCTGATATTGTTTGGTAGCCTAATGGGAATAAAAAAGGTAATTCTTAGCCAAGCCCCTGGTGTAAATCTGCTTTTGTCACAAAAATCATAATTTCATGTGACACCCTTGGCACATAGACTCTACAATAAAAGGCAAGTGTTTTTCTAGTTCCTCTAAACAAAATACAGGTCAGTTTACCTTGGCAATGTAAGAAACACTGATGTCAGCTTGAGTAGGAGGAATTTAACTTATAAAGTTGCCCATTTTTTTTTCTTTTATTACCAAAACATATTTTTATAAAATGGGGAGGGGTACCTGCGTGAGGAACTGGAGGTTCATTTTCCTATTAGATTTTCCAGTGAGATGAATTTCACCTACTTTCCGATATCTTAAATCAGAAGGCTGAGCATTTCACCTTGATTGCCTCTACAGGTAACACAAAAACCAGCACATCTGGAAGCAGGGTCATCCCTCTCCTCTTAGCAGTTGCCCAAAGAGGAGATGAAAATTCTCATGTCTCGTTACAGAACACGGAAGGAATCTAGACTCAGATGTAGTTAGGTGAGCCAAGGCCAAGCGTTTTTGCCAGTGGAGCTTTGTGTTTCAGAAAATACACAGAAAGAATCAACACAAATATCTTACATGCTAGGAGAGTGGAGCACAAAATTCAAAGAGGAAGACAGCACTACAGAGAAACCCAAGTCTTTTCTTTGCATTGGCCTTCTACAGGTCTGATTCAAATACCACAGGAATTAGTGAAAATCTTTCCATTCTCTTCATCTAGCTGGAGCAGATATAGAGCGCTTCAAAAAGTGGAGAGATAAAGATTTCATTTTTAGATTAAAATGTTTTATTGAGGAGTTTAGGCCTTGTTCCTTGTTCCTAAACCAGCTTCACAATGAGCAAGTAATTTAAGACAAAAAAGTGCTGTTATTGTTAGGAATTTTTTTTTAAAAAAAGATGTAAAATATAATTGGAAGACAATTTGAGCACTTGAAGAGTCTTCTGCACTCTGAAGAGTTGTTTCTTCCTTGTTGATACCATTATGGAATATACATCTTGGGAAAAAATTCATTAAATTCATTATACTTACTTGGTGAAAATGGCCAACATCTAGTTCTCCAAAATATGGCTATTAAGTGGTAACATGCTGACAGTACAGCGTGTTATGTCAAAATCCTCATTAGTCTGAAACTTCAAAGGGGGCTGAAGTGAACAAACTACCTTCTGAAAGAATTTGACAAAGGCAAGTACACACAGTGTGTTTTACAAAAAATGAGACTGAGCTACCTCAGTCCTATCTGGGATGGTTTGGGCAGTTTCTGTTCTGTTCATCCAAGCCCTTCTATGGCTTCATAAGCATTTTATAGAATTTTTTGTTTCAGTTATCTCCTTCCCTATTTTTCTAGTTTAATGTCACTATCACACTTTAAAGCTTTGCCCCTGCCTAGAAGACAGAAGGAAACCCACTAGATGGAAGAAGACCGACAAATGGTAGGATTGTGGGAAGCAGACAAAAGTAAAGATGATAACTCACAGCTGAGTGCCGCCTCAAAATACAGTACACACAGAGCACATGTGAGACATGACAAGTAATGGTGGGCCACATAGCCTAGGCAGACACTTAAATGAAGGCAGTGATTGTCCTCTTATTCTTAGGTGTGCAGAGAACTTCCATAATTAACTCATTAATTTTCATTAGATGTGAAAAATAGAAACTGAACATAACTGTGTGGGTATGCTCTAGAATATGTGGGACAAATACAGCAACCTTCTCGTAGGTCTGATGGCATCCAGCCCATCCCTGGAACTGTACATTAAATCCTTTCATCCCAACCTGGAAGCACAGCAGGATGGAAATTATTAACAGTAGGCTAATGCAGGACACAAATTCTCTGATCAAACAGTAAGACACCTCTCCTTCCCTGTATCCCTCTTCCCGGTACCCAAACTCGTCAGGAAATTTTTTCCTGATGTTCAAACTAAATTCCCTATTTTGTAATTTCCTGTCATATTCCTTACTGAATTCTTCTCCATAGTTGGCTGCAACAGCATTTGCAGTCCATTATGTCACCCTCAGAGTAACTTGTTAGCCAAAAGGAAGTTAGAAGAATCGTGTTATTGGTGAGACAATATGCTACAAAGATTTCCAGCTATTTTCTCACATTAGTATTTCCAGACTATCAGTCCTAAAGTTTTTCTTCAAATCCTCTAATTCTTCCTCATCTCCCAGTTCATGAGGTTTCTGGAAGTGAAAGACATATTCCAGATGCAGCTGTATCAGAAGGACCTTTATCCCTTTGGTCAGCTGATGTCACGCCTGACTGCATATGAAGTCCAAAATTCCACTGGGCTTTTTACTCTTCAATATCACCAAGTGCTTGAATCACTACTTAAGACCATAGTCACACATTTCAGATCCTTCTTTTCTATTACACAACTGTTTTCCATTGCTCGTTTTCACAGAATCAGAGAGTGACTGAGGTTGGAGGGGACCTCTGGCATCCCACACCCCTGTTCAATAGGGCCACCTACAGCCAGGTCTCCAGGACCGTGACCAGACAGCTTTTGAATGTCTCCAAGGAGGAAGACTTCAGAGCCTCTCTGGGAAACCTTTTCAATGTTCAATTTTATTTCATCATTGCCAGTAATTCACGTGGGCCATCTTATGTTATTTCAGTGCCACTGCTGAGGATTCAATAGAAGTTTTCCAAAAGATTAATGAGAATGAAAAATTATCATTAACAAGTATCTAGAGCCACCTGCCACATCCTTTGATCCACTTATCATTCCACATTTTTCATGGACCTTTACTTATGCTAACTACAGGGCCATGAAAACTGCAGACAAAATAATTTTGCAATATAATAGGGAAGAAAAGGCCATTTAAGAAACGGAAATTAATTCCTCTGTTCACATAAAGTTGATTTTTAAATATTGAAATCCACATATATAAGAGCATATAAATCTGCATTGCAGAATCGTCTCAACCAGGGCACTCTGAGTAATTTATCTTGATTTTAAGAATAAAATAACAAAAAGGAAAAAAAAAAACAAAACAAACAACCCCAAACCCTCATTTCATCCGACAGGACATCCTACTGATACCTAAAATCCAGAGCGGACACCTACTCAGCACTCCAAAGAGATTTTCTCACATTGAATCCACAAATTGGATCCTCACAATCCAATTTGTACTGCAGCCAGTAGTGAAAAAACCCTCAAAAAGCTGAAATGGGAAAGTCACCTACCCTGCTGTTCCACCTGGCTGTCTCCTGTCTGTTCCTCTCTTTTGCCTGTAAACTCTGAGCAAGGTCTGTTTTCACATCCTTTGATTTCCATCTAGACAGCTCCCTATGGTAACCTTGCTTTTCTTTCCCTTACACACGCTCCAGATTCTCAGGTTGTCCAACAGAGGCGGAACAGCTGTTCCAAGTTTCAGGATTCACACAGAGCAGGAGACTAATGCCCGCAGCCACTTGAGATGGCCTGGAACAACATGGCAAGTAGCGAGTTCTTCAACCTGCTGATTCGGTACAAGCATGAGGCCAGAATAAAATCTGAGTTCATATCTCAATCTGCCACCATTCCATTTCTGAAACCTCTTCTTTTCCTGCTTAAGAATCCCAAAATTAAAACCAACATACACCACAGCTGCAGCTTACTAGCAAGTATAAATTTCTGCTGCAGGCAGGTGCAGGAACCTGAACACAGTATTTCAGCTGAGCTTCAACTCCAACACAAAAACTTGCACAGTAGTGGGACACTTCCCTTTTCTTCAGGGGAAAAAAAAAAAAAAAGGAATACTGCATTGACTAAAGGAGATAGAGCATGTGAATGTTTTGAGTTCCAATTTTTATTTAGTCTTTAAAAATATCAATACTTCTTTCTGAGGCAAAAACCAATATCTAGGAAGCAGTTTCGAAGGCATATAATAAACCAGAAAACCTGTATCAGCTTTCCCTAGATTATTTTGGTTGGAATTTTATTTTGTATTTAACTGTGTGGGAATGCACGCTTTTGTGTAAAACATCATCTGTGGCATGTGAGATGCAACCATCTGTTAAATAGGAAATATCCTATATTCAACAAAATCTTGTTAAATAAGGAAAATCCCAATCACTACGTAGGTATGAGTACTTAATTTTAATATGACAATTCTGATCCCTCCTTTGCCTTGAGTTTTATCTCTTTTCTAGAGTCTGTGGGATGCCCGCTGTCTTCAGATCTAAAGGGCTGTCTGAACTAGCATATTTGCATCTCCACAGCAATTTGATTATTTCCAGGCTGTGTTTGGCTCAAGTACAATTTACATCAACTGAAAATAGGCCACATGAAAAGATTTATTAGACATTAGAAACTTCAGGACATTTAAGGAAAAGATATACTGTTATAATGAACCCTCTTCTATCTGCATCTTATAATTGCTGCATATACCGAACAGTTAAAAAGGAATAGCACTCCTATAACAGACAACCAGATCAATAAAAACAGTTTTAAAGCAATGTCTTTGTTAAATGATCTAAACTAAATTCTCGAAAAGATGAGGGTCTTTGACAGACGCAGTAGTTTTGTGTGAAGAACTGTAGGTTGAAATGCTCTGAATACCTAACCAAGCCCAAAACCTCAGAGATTACACGCGTTTGAGAGGTACGTCCGTCCTGTTTAAATGCTCCGGTTTTCTGCCTTAAATAAAACTCTAATGACACACAGGAAGATTAGAGCAATATTCCCTCCCTTCTTTCACGTTTAAAATCACTTTATCAATAAGATAATGCCAACAGCAGATCAGACAGCTAGCTAGGAGGTGACAGCTCATCCTACACAGGAATACCATCCACTTTCAAAAACTGTATTAGCTCACACCATGACACAACACAACATCCAGCTTTCAGCTCTACTAGGTTTCCAAGAAGTGAGTAGCAACAGTGATGTTCAATCCAGCACTAAAACAGGCTTTGAAATCTCTGACTGACAAGTCTGCAAAATGAAGGAATGGATTGGAATTCTCTCTTTAGCAGGACTGCAATAGTTAGGTTCTTAACAAAAGCAGAGGTTACAAGCCATCTTCCTTTTCTTCAGAGCAGTTACTTCAATTCAGTACCCCTGGTTTTGCTTGTAAATGGTGAAAGATGAAACAATTATGTGAATCTGAATTTTTTACATTTACAGAGAGATGTGCAAATCTGTTTCAAAACAAGAATCTGCTTCATAGTTAATCAGCTTGCTCTGCTTTAGTGCTTGAAGGATTTTACATGTTGGAAACAAGCACTTAAGAACCAGGTTTTTCTGTCTTCCCTTTGTCTTTTTCTTTTTTTCTAACTTCCAAGCCTCAGCAAAAGAGTGTTCTCAAAGAAGTCATCTTTGGAGATTTAGCAACAATTGCTGATCTCCTTTGCCATGTAGTTCACTCTGAAAAATAACTAAAAGGAACGTGCAGGTGAATGAGGCAGCATAATGCCAGACTTGGGCTTGTCACTGAATTCTGCTGAAGCAGATACAACTCCTGACGCTTTAGCTAATTCTAACACCGAAGGAGAACGTCTCATCTACAATTCACAGACTAATTTGCAAGCTTTCTTAAAACAGTACCTAACTAGAGAACGTAATATACCCCATCTCAAAAATGCTATTTTGATATTCCTTTCCAAGGGCTCTATTTTGAACATGGGTACATCAAACGGAGAAAATAATTCTGTCACTTTCATTCTGTCTTCAGAATGACTGTAAAAAGAAATACATATTCACATGTTTAATATGCTATGTTTCATCCCTGATTCCTCTTTCACTATTTTAAAGGAAAAATTAACCGTTGTCTATTTATCCATGCTTTATTTTGATTTGCAAAAAGAGAAATTCAAACCATGATGAGACTATTAAAACAATTTAAATTAATTCTTTATGTAATAGGGATACTCCCTGTTAAAGTATCTGGGATCTAGGAGTAAAAATGATTGATCGACTGGCAAACGCAACATTTGAGGACATTGCCGACTGGTAGATACTGAAGCTACATAGTATGTGAAACATACAGAA